GGGAGAGCGCACTTGTAACGCCTGCAAGTGTCCATTGCTTCGGTGATCCGTCTGCTCGTTTACCGGCTTATCCCATGAACAAAACTTGGCTGTGCACCTTACTAATATAAATGTGTCAGTTTGTGAGTGAGTTTCGTTGCAATCATCGGCTGAAGGGATCCGGATGAAGTTGGGAACAAGGGCAGACTATGGTCTAGAATCCTTACTAATATTATAAATTGTAAAGTGAGTTTGTTTGTTTGTTCCACTTTCACGCCGTAACTACTAAACCAATTGCTTTGAATTTATGCAGACGTAAAGTTAGAAGTCTGGATTAAATAATAGGGTACTTATTATCCCGGAAAAAATTGATATTCCCGAGGGAAAACAAAAGTATTGGTATAGATGGCGCTGAGTGTATTGGTATATGTCACATAGGCTACTTTTTATTCTTTTGTGACGCGAGCGAAGCCGCGGGTAAAAGCTAGTAAAACTAGAAGTTAGTAGGTACAGAAAAATAAAACGATACCATCTTACAAGAATCCTTTTATAAAATTCCATATTTGATAGAAAAAGATCACATTATTACGATATGCGTGTTTGTTCTTACATACAAATATTACGAATATACTGTATCACTTGGAAACTGTACAGAAACATGTTATGTTATGTCTTATTATTAGAGTCAGAAAATATATTTATCGATTTAAAATAACTCAGAATACCTATTAGAAGAACAAATAGGGCTGTTTTTTAAAAATCAATAAAAATATAGGTAAAGGAGATGGACTAAAATTGTATGACTCTGCGACTCGCGTTCAATATACCGTTGAAAGTATTTAAGTTTGTGAGAAAAGAAAAAATACGCGTCTAATGATTTAAAAATTCAAACTACATAGTCGTATGAATACAATAATAAAAGTAACTCGAGTAGGTAAACAATATAATTATATGCCAATTAATAACTATTTAGATTCTTTACAGATCGAACAAGTCTTGTATCACGGCTGTTAAAATAATTATTGAAGATATTTTTTCTCAATATCATAAAATCTTGACTTATAAAATTTGTCTATTATGAATTTTATTTAAACCATACACATTATTGCAAAATATACTTTATAACGTTTGATTTTAAAGTAGTAATTGGAGCCAGTCTCGTTAGGACGACGTAATCTTACTATTATACATATATCACAATAAAGCATTGCTTAAACTTATATCTAAAATATATATTACACATTATACAATATATTATATCTACCAATTTGACTGTACTCAATTTAATAAACAAAAATATTTAGATCGCAGATAAATTTAGATATTTATTTTTGTCTAATAACCTAAATAATTTAGTATAATTTGGTCCTAGAACATTAAAAAACTATGCGCACTCTTTTATAACTTATAGTCGTTACAAACAAAATATAATTTGACACATCAATACATTTTATACATTAATTATATTTAATATCTATACACATATTATGTTTATAAAAAATATGACTTCGTGAATACAAAAGCTGATATTAGTTCGACTAAAACTATTTAGAAAACGTAATAAGAAATATTTATTCGAGGCAGATATAATCCAACTAATTATATAGAGGGATTAAATATTATGACAACCAGAAAATACGATGATACCTTAAGTTGTTTTACCGAAAATATAGAATGAATAATCACCAAATGTAGTAGATGATCACGTTTGATGGCAGCCCGACGCGGTAGGCGGGTACATCAGAACGGTTTGACGGAAGCTATAGTGGGCGACCGAACTAATAGCTACATTCGTTAGGTCACTTCAAACCCTGCGGTCATAGATACGGCTCAATCTGTTTCATTACACTTTTTTTTTTTTTAAAGGGGGGAAAATCATCGAATGACTGCTCCCCGCCTGGGTGAGGCGGGAGGGAGTGTCAGACTCTTACTGACTAAAAACCACCCCGTTCCTTCTCCTGCACGTCGAGCCGGAGCCCCGGTTACCCGTTAGGTTCTCCGCGACTGTTTCATTACACTGCAGTAGTAATTCCGGGGGTGATTAACTATTGTTGACTCAACTTTGATGTGTTTGGAAACCATTTGTTCTAGTAAGATACCTAGACAGCTAGGTGTACACATTCTTGTTATAGTTTTAATTTAAAATGGGGGGAACTCTGGTGATCATTTCCTATTGTCGCCTGTCACATGTGACTAAATCAAGTGATACGTGAAACATAAACCATTCTAAATGCGCAAACAAGTTCGTTTGTATACTCTTCACACTTTGTCTAGTGGGGTAATTGTTTTTTAATGTCCGTCTGGTAGATTATTTTAAAACATTAGACACGTATTTTTTATTTTCTTACGAAAACTTTTCGACGATATTATATTGATTTGAAATATCGCGTGACGTCACTTCTATGTACGTTTTATACTCAAAAATGTCGTAGCTCAGGTCCCACTGCTAAACTTTGATTTGTTTTATCTAAGTATTGTTTTCTTATACGACAAAATAAAAAATACGTGTCTAATATTTTTTCATTATCTAACTGACGGAGTATATTATTAATGTTCGAGCCCTAGCATCATTCCTAACTTGCATATATATAGTTGGAGTACGGAGAATGACATAGGCGAGACAAAAACCAGTTAAACAATAAAAATCCACGAACCTTCGGACATACCTACAACTTAATATTATTACATATATGTATATCTAGTTATGCGAGAAAAAACTTCTATAAAAATTGTGTATAAACCGTCCTTAAAAATATATCTATATATCATACAGCATATACTAGACAAATATTAAAAAAATTGTTCCCTTTACAGTAAAAATAACTACATAATATTTATTTACAATCAGTAAAAATGTGTAAATATTACAAACTGTTTCGTTTATTATTTAAATTAATTAAAATACAACACTTGCGGAAACAACAATCGGGTACTTGCCTTCATCAAACATACATTATTTCGACTGTTCAATACAATAACATATTAAACAATAATCACGCTTTCATTAATTGATTTTATGACCAACTTTATTTTAGTATATTTCCAGCGTTTTTTTAAGAAATAACTAAGCTGTTTGACGATAAAAAAACGTGACGTCACAATACACAATCTCGTACAAAATTCATAGAAAACTGTCGTTTTTGACAGTTCGAAAGAATCGTATTGAATTTGACTAGTTGGCAAGTACATAATTGTTCGAAACTGTTCGATATAACTCGACTAATTACAAGCTATATCGGAGCACACGTTGAGCATTTTCGAAACAATTTAAGTAAAATATTTTAATTAATTTAACATGTTTCACAATAGTTATTATGTAAAAACTATTTATTATTATTATTATTTTATGAGAGTGTTATATTAAATACTATATTGTGTGTTTAAAATATTGTACCAATTCAATTAGGCCCGGTTATAAACTGAATAAAGTTGAAGTGTGTGTTTGATAGCACTAATCTTAGAAATTACTGTAATATTATATTTATAATCGTTCGAATTGAATATTTCTTGTTGTACTCGATAGTCCATTTATCGACGAAGGCTATAAAACATCACGCTATGACCAATAAGAGCCGTGCAGCGGGTGACATTGCGGGAGAGTAGCTAGTTTGTTTTTATGGGATAAGCCGGTAAACGAGCAGACGGATCACCTGATGGTAAGCAACCGGCGCCGCTCATGGACACCTGGAACACTAGAGGCGTTACAAGTGCGTTACCGGCCTTTTGGTCATTAGGAATTTAAAGATTGTTGGGGATTCAGGGATTGGGGAGATTGGGGAAAGAGGATGGTGTGACCTTACTCCCACGGTGAAACAAAGCAAGCGTTGTTTCACGCCGGTCTTCAGCTCGGCCGTGGTATCACTCCGGTCGAGCGGCCCATTCGTGCCGAAGCATGGCTCTCCCACACTAGCAATATTACACTTTCAATTACAATTCGTACAATATTTTAATCACAACTAGGCCACGATGTAACTAGTATTATTATTCGCCGCTATGTAATTATAGCACAATACTTGTATCAAAGAGCCTCTACAACGGAGCTACCATTCACCTAGCTGAAAAGAGTTTTTATAAAAAATATACGGATATCATGAATGTATGTTAGAAATAGACTGCCTCGTTGGCCGAGTGGTCGCAATTGCGACTGCCGAGCAAGGGGTCTCGGGTTCGATTCCCGGGTCGGGCAAAGTATTACTGGGTTTTTAAAAAATTCTCAGTAGTAGCACGGAGTCTGGAACTGTGCCCGGTATATGGCAATAGGCTCACCCCCTATTACATGCGACTCATAACATAAATAGTGAAAAGTAAGTGTTACATTGTACAGTGGTGTAATGTGCACCTCTGCCTACCCCTTTGAGGATAAAAGGCGTGATGTTATGTTATGTTAGAAATAGTCCAATAATAATGATATGTATGTCGTGGCGGCCGGAGGTCTGAGACGCTCATGCATGAGGGCGCGGGTCGGTACCAAGTACCAATGTGACTTATTCCGAGTTATATGTACTTTCTAAGATTATACAAACACCACTGACAAACGGTGAAGGAAAACATCGTAAGGGAACCTGGCGGCTTACTCTTGAATTCAATTCTGATCGATCGACATTGGTATTGTGAAATTTCGTACTCTTGAGTTGCAACACTAGCGCCCATTGCATCCGTATTGCGTGGATATTGAATGAACTGAACGGTATTGAGTTTGTCTTTATATTCCGTACTCTGAATGCTATTGTAACAGCTACGATAGAGGTTGTATAGTGTTGACATTGAGATTGGTTTCAAGAGTAAGCACCCTGGATTTATAATTTCTAATTACAAGTTTGAAATCGCCAACCCGCATTGAGCAAGCGTGGTGATTAATGCTCAAACCTTCTCCGTGTGAGAAGAGGCCTTTGGTCAGCAGGGGCCACTTATAGGCTGTCGATGTGTGATGTGATGAAATGATATTGTTTACACAGTATTATAGCTAAATCATCTCCATACAACATACATTCATATAAGAACAATACAATGAAAACTGAATCTTATCTCAACCCGAGCAGAGCCTTGTTTCCTTTGAGCGCTGACCGTAGTTTCTTGACCAACGCTGATGGCTGAATGAGTATAGATACTTCAGTACCATGTCTACTGAGTCTGTTCATATCTTCTTCGCCTCCCTGTAAGCAATCGATACAACATTATACATTACATAACATCACGCCTTTTATCCCCGAAGGGGTAGGCAGAAGTGCACATCAGTTAGGAAATGTCGACCTCATCGTTCGCTTGATAAAATTGTCGTGTAAAAGTGCTGCCTTGTAGCCTATTTGCAGAAATAAATTCACTTGTTTCACATTATGGCACTTAATGCCACTGTACAATGTAACACCCACTTTTCACTATTTATGTTATGAGTCCCATGTAATAGGGGGTGAGCCTATTGCCATATACCGGGCACAATTCCAGCCTCCGTGCTACTATTGTATTTTTTTAAAACCCAGTAATACCTTGCCCCTTCCGGGAATCGAAACCGATACCCCTTGCCCGAGGTTGCATCGTTGGCCGAGTGGTCGCAAGTGTGACAAATCTATACAGATAAACAAAATTGGAGTGTCTGTTTGTACCTAGTGTTGAAACAACAGCTTTTTACTACATGTATATGAATATACAAAATAACATTTTTTACAATATCTGTTTGTTTGTACTGGCTAATCTCGGAAATGGCCGGACCGATACTAACGGGAATTTTACTAGCAGCTAATGTACTAAAGAGTAACATAGACTACTTTTATTTTGGAAAATAGAAACAAAAATAAAGTTACGTCCTAAAATTCATATCCTACACGACCGAAGTCGCGGGCAACAGGTAGTCCTTACTAATATTATAAATCGGAAAGTGAGTTTGTTTGTTTGTTCTGCTTTCACGCCGTAACTACTAAACCGATTGCTTTGAATTTTTGCAGACGTAAAGTTAGAAGTCCGGATTAAATAATAGGGTACTTTTTATCCCGGAAAATTGGTATTCCCGAGAGAAAACAAAAGTATTGGTATAGATGGCGCTGTGTGTATTGGTATATGTCACATAGGCTACTTTTTATCCTTTTGTGACGCGAGCGAAGCCGCGGGTGAAAGCTAGTATTAAATATACATTAATAACCGTGCGAAAGCCGGCAAAAGCCGATGTAAAACAATACAATTGTTAATTACCTTGAGTAGATTTATAGGCCTGTTGTTTATTTCAGTGAGCGCCCAGTTCCCGGGCGGAGGCAGACCGGCGCGGGCGCAAGCACTATGAGCGACCACGCCTGTGATATTGCATTCATTGTCCAACTTTAGACCTGGAAACACCACAATATTGTTATTAATATTCACATACATACATATATAACATCACGCCTGTCCCCAATGGGGGTAGACAGAGACTATGGAACGCCAATTGCTACGAGTCTTACATACCTCTTTCGCTTCATCAACAGTCATCAGTCTTTTCATACATGCTCGTCGGTTAATGGTGACTTTTAATTTGGCTCTATTTAATATATTTATGTATAAAATAAATCATTTATCCCTTTTCTATATTATGTACTTTAATTTAGTTCGTTTTTGTATATTTTTTGTAATTTCATTGATTATACATTAATCATTGGTGTATACCGTGTGAATCAAGTTTGAATGCGGTTATACCCGAAGGGGTAGGCAGAAGTGCACATTACTGCACTTAATGCCACTGTACAATGTAACAGGGGGTAAGACTATTGCCATATACCGGGCATAATACCAGACGTCGTGCAATACTGAGAATTATTTTAAAAAAACGAATAACACTTTTCCCGACCCGGGAATCGAACCCGAGGCCCCTTGCCCGGCAGTCACACTTGCGACCACTCGGCCAACGAGGCAATCAATGACTAATATATTAAAGCAAAAATTGACATTGTACATACCCAATGCTTCCTGGTCCCTCTTGTTGACCACATATATTTTACCGAGCGGCACCCGGTGGAATAGTATGTCCACCTGTAATTTGAAAAACATAATATTATGTACACTATATACATTATACTAGCCTCTGTCCGGGGGACGGAGTTGAGTTTGTTTCGGCGTTTCCTCTCAGAGTAGTCAGTTAGGGAATATCGGCCTCATTGTTCGCTTGAAAAATTGACGTGTAAAAGTGCTGCCTTGTAGCCTATTTGCAGAAATAAATTCACTTGTTTCACTTAATCCCCAGAAGGCCGGTAACGCACTTGTAACGCCTCTGGTGTTCCAGGTGTCCATGTGCGACACCGATTGCTTACCATCAGGCATAGAGCAACACGGAGGGGAGTAGCCATTGCGTTTTATACCGATACAAAACTGTCTGTCATTTTTGCGAGGGGAAATCACACATTCTCAAATTCTCACACAAAAACATTCTATGTCACTACGAAATTCACACTATGACAATTGAAAAATACACTATCAATTTCACACACATTTAAACAGTCCCTATCGTAATAGTGTAATAATATAACGCACCTACACTTACAAGTCCTTACACCCGCAGTTGTAACAATTGTCGATACGCATTATCGATTAATTCAAGAACTCCGTTAAGGAAATTAGCTTTAAAAATTTATTCAAAGACGGATATTATTATTGACTTTAATTATTATGTAGGTACTACAATAATCAGATAACATAATTATAACAAATAATATTTTCATTTTTTTAAATAAAATAAATTAGGTACCTTTTAAAAACCAGTGATGAAATACTGATACGGAACTATCACTGGTTTTTAAAATGGATTAATTTTCTATAAATATGACGAATACATTTTCGGGGGTTCGTTATTTTGAATTTGAAGTTCTCACTCTGTATTTTTTATTTAAATCAGTAAACCTAATCTCAAAACATTCTCTAATTTGACTTCACCTTTCACATTTTCATCGATAACTATCTACAAACAAACTGGCAACAACACTATCGCTCGGCGACAGCGAATTCTAGGAAAAAGACTCGGATCTGTCGCTCGACCGATCCGCGTTTTGTATGAGGACGCACGGCTTTGTTAGTAAACAAATCCGAAACAAGACGATTGATAATATTGTAGTTTTTTTCAAGTTATAAGAAGTAAACAGCAATAATGTGATTAAAAATTACTTAATATGAAAGGTAACGCCATGTTTTTTTAAATTTGACGTGGCAGATGTCTTTTTGCAGCAAAAAACAGAACAATTCGGCATTTTTACGACGCCGTCGATTCACTAACGCAACTAGATTTAGTCTGGTGAGCAGTTGAGTTGCAACTAGTTTTATTGTACGCATAGGACCATTTGGACTTATACTTTGACAGAGGGGAACGCCGGTGTATGACTACTCCCCGCCGGTCCGCCGGTGGCATGTGTTGCTTTATGACCATCAGGTGATACGTCTGCTAGATTGGCGACTTATACCATAAAAAAACTGAAAACGAGAGCACGTTTGGTAATCTGATCCATTGGCGCTGGCCAGTCAGAGCGTCGAACGCGTGTACTAGTTTGTAAAGTGACTAGTACAGAGACATATTGGCCCGAGGCAACATGTCGTCCTGTATACAGTGAGAGTGTATGCTCACGGCGGGCGCCCGCGCGGCGTGCAGCAGGAGCCTGGCGTGCGCGGCGTCCCGCGGCGCGCGGGCGGCCAGTGCGGCGGCGCGGTCGCCGCAGCGGCCCGCCGGACGGACGCCCGACGGACCCCACCACGCTATCCTGGACATTCAAATTTTCTAAGCGTCAAACAGCATACTTATTGCTTAAAAAATTGCTGGAAAATACTAAAATTAAGTTGGTCATAAAATCAATTAACAAAAGTGTGATAGTTTTCAACCGACTTCAAAAAAGGAGGAGGTTGTCAATTCCATTGTATTTTTTTTACATTCAGTCATAAAAGTATCGGGAATGGATGATTTGTTTATGGTTCCAAATTCAAATTTTAGTTTTTTTGTAGTTGTTAAGATTGGTACAACTGTTTTCCATTTTGGCGCGGACTTTGAGTTGCATCTGTTAGAGCAAAGAGTTTGATTATTAATAGCGAGCAAAGAGTTTGATTTAAATTTTGCATCGCCAATGGAATTTCGTATTCGGAGTCACTGAAAATGTTACATGTTACGGTGAATCAGCTTTATTAAAAACTCGTGCTTATGATTCAAAGCGTTCAAAAGAGGTCGAGATGTGATGGAAGATTTGCCTCGCTCTGGTAGACCGTCAACGTCTGCAACTGAAGTTAACATCGCAAAAGTGAAGGAAATAGTGACTGAAATTCCCCATTCAACTCTGAGAGAGATAGTCGCCGAACTTTCTGTATTTCACGAGTCGATCCGTACCATTCTAACTAATCATTTGGGTATAAAACATGTTGCTGCTCGGCTAGTCCCAAAAGATATGAATCTTCTCCAAAAACTTAATCGCATTAAAGTCGCTGAGGACATGCTAGAACAAGTCAATTCGGACCCAATATTCATGAAACGCATTGTTACTGGTGACGAGACGTGGGTTTACGAGTTTGACATGCAAACTAGTCAACAAGCTTCGGAGTGGCGCCTTCCAACTGAACCGAAACCGAAAAAACCATGCCAAAGTCGATCAAAAGTCAAAGTCATGTTGACTGTTTTCTTTGACTATCGCGGTGTTTTGCACTCTGAATTTTTACCGGAAGGTTTAACGGTACATAAAGAATATTATATGAGCGTTATGCGGCGTTTAAGAGAGCAAATTCGACGAAAAAGGCCAGATATGTGGAGAGAAAATTCTTGGATTTTGCACCATGACAATGAACCTTCGCACAAGGCTATCATTGTGAATGAATTTTTGACCAAACACTCAACAAATACCACCCAGCAACCACCATATTCACCAGATATGGCTCCTACTGCCTTTTTCTTTTTCCTAAACTCAAATTACCACTTCGTGGCACCCGTTCTCAATCGATAGAAGACATAGAGGGGAATTCGCGGCGAGAACTGAACTCAATTCCGGAAGCAGCGTTTAAAAATTGTTTTGATGAATGGATTATTCGTTGGCGCCAGTGTATCGTTTCTAAAGGAGCATACATTGAAGGTGATAAAATAAAATTGGATGAATAACAGACGTTTTGTTATATTACCCTCCCCTTCCCCAATCTCCCCAATTCCTTAATCCCCAACGATCCTCAAACTCCTAATCCCCAAAAGGCCGGTAACGCACTTGTAACGCCTCTGGTGTTCCAGGTGTCCATGGGCGACGCCGATTGCTTACCATCAGGTGATCCGTCTGCGCGTTTACCGGCTTATGCCATAAAAAAATTTTTTGATCTTTTCCCGGTACTTTCTTGACAGAGTAGTATATTTGTTACTCGATTACTCACAGACGTCTGGACTGATTTAAACTGTCAAACACCGAGCGGTCACCGGTGACCGCAACCTATTGTTCTTTAATTGTGTCTATAAATACGGTACTCGACGAGTTAAAAAAATATTTTTTTGTTTGAAAAACGCTTGTCATTTGGTCCCTTTGTCATGAAGTCAGGATCTGATGATGGAATCCCAGGGAAACCGAGGGGAACTTTTAAAAATTATAGGGCGGCTAGTGCATTTGTTAATTTTTTCGTTAAGTATTTAAAACTACTACAATCTGATAAAGGTCTGGATTTGATCTGATGATGGAGCCGAGAGGCAGTCAAGGGAACTCCTCAAAAGTAAACAGTACCTACCTTGTGTTTGGGTTTGATTAACTTGTATTGATGAGGACTTTCTATCTAAGTGGCATATGATTGCCAATAAGGGTCTGATGATGAAGTACTACCATAGTTGAGGGAACTCCTCAACGGTTAACAGTAGCTACCTTGTGTTTGGGTTTGATAAATTTGTATTGATGAGGACTTTACACCTAGGTGTGGAGTGTTTGTCAATAAGGGTCTGATGATGAAGTAGTACGATAGTTGAGGGAACTCTTAATTAGTTACCGGTAGCTATCTTGTGTTTGGGTTTGATTAATTTCTATTGATGAGGCCTTTATACCTAGATGATATGTGATTGCCAATAAGGGTCTGATGATGAAGTACTACTATAGTTGAAGGAACTCCTCAACGGTTAACAGTAGCTACCTTGTGTTTGGGTTTGATTAATTTGTATTGATGAGGACTTTATACCTAGGTGGTATGTGTTTGCTAATAAGGGTCTGATGATGAAGTACTACCGTAGTTGAGGGAACTCCTCAATAGTTAACAGTAGCTACCTTGTGTTTGGGTTTGATTAATTTGTATTGATGAGGCCTTTATACCTAGATGATATTTAAGTGATTGCCAATAAGGGTCTGATGATGAAGTAGTACGATAGTTTAGGGAACTCTTCATCAGTTACCAGTAGCTACATTGTGTTTGGGTTTGATTAATTTGTATTGATGAGGACTTTATACCTAGATGATATGTAATTGCCAATAAGGGTCTGATGATGAGGTAGTACGATAGTTGAGGGAACTCTTCATCGGTTAACAAATCAAATCAAATCAAATCAAATCATTTATTTCGTTTGCAAACATGGGTTATAAAATATACAAAAGGTGTTTAATATTTATAGTATGGTTCTCCACATTTTGCCGTTATGGCATGCAAGTATTTCCTAATCAATTTATCTACAAGTTTAACTTATACAACCTCATACAATATACATTACCAATAAATTAAGAATTGAACTAATTATAATTATTGAATGTCAAGAAAGATGAAATTAAAGGTATCATATTATTAATAAGTCAGTAAGTCATCATTAAGAAAGTCGTCAATATTATAATAGCATTTGTCAAGCAATTTTTGTTAATCAAACCCAAACACAGTAGCTACCTTGTGTTTGGGTTTGATAAATTTGTATTGATGAGGACTTTACACCTTTTTTTTTTTTTTTTTTTTTTTTTGAGGGGGGAAAATCATCCAATGACTTCTCCCGCCTGGGCGAGGCGGGAGGGAGTGTCAGACTCTTACTGACTAAAAACCACCCCGTTCCTACACCTGCACTTCGAACCGGAGCCCCGGCAACCCGTTAAGTCTTCCGCGGCTCCGTATCGGCATCAGCCTTGTTAGGCCCCATCTGTGGTGGTCTGATGGCTCCTTGAGGCGCGCGCGGAACGCGACGCGCCGTACGCTCGGGCCTGGTTCTGGTCGGGCGGCGAGTCACCCATGCTCGCCGTCCGCAGACCCGTGCTTACGGTGGCCGGAGATCGTCTCGCGATCCCCGACGCCCGGAGTGTCTCTCGCGACGGCCGGGTCGTGAGGAGGTTCGTTCCCTCACGCGCTCCGCCTCCTCCTTAGCTAGCATGACTGCTTCGCAGAAGGAGGAGACGGCATCCCAGTCCCCCTCGCTCCGTACCATGGTCTGAACCAGAGCCGGACGCGAGAGGTCGCCGTCGCCGATCACATTCCTGAGGACACGGCGGTGCTCAGTCCACGCAGGACACACCGCCACCGTATGCTCCACCGTGTCCTCCGGGCGATCCTCGCAGTGATGACCCGGGCGTTTCCTCCGCCCAATCCGAAACAGGAACCTACCGAAACTTCCGTGTCCGGTAAGCACCTGCGTCAGGCGGTAGGTGAGGACGCCGTAGCGTCTCTCAAGCCACTCCTCAAAGAGGGGACTTACCGCTGCAATGACAGCGAGCCCAGCCTTCGGTTGCGACAGTCGTTGCTGCCATTCCGCCATGAGATCACGCCGGAGCTCATCCCGCCACGCATTAATCTGGCGCGCCAGCGGAGTTTCGCCCCGGCGACGTGCCTCCGCGCGCAAACAAAACACGCGCGCGAGCACCTTCGCCTCCAGATCCCACGGCGGTAATCCGGCAAGGAGGTTCGCCGCCTCCCCGGAGATCGTGCGATATCCGCGTATCAATCGGATCGCCATGACCCTCTGTGATGTGAGCAGCGCCCGAGCGGGCCGCCGCATCAGGTTCGGCGCCCACACAGGGGCGCCGTAGAGGGCCATGGACCGCACGACCCCGGCGTATAACCTCCGGGAGGACTTTACACCTAGGTGTGGTGTGGTTGTCACTAAATACCAATAATGAAGTAGTATGATAGCTAAGAGAACAATGGGTAACAGTAGTTACCCAGTGTTGAATATGAAAATATGAATATAACATAACATAACATAACATCACGCCTTTTATCCCCGAAGGGGTAGGCAGAGGTGCACATTATGCCACTGTACAATGTAACACCCACTTTTCACTATTTATGTTATGAGTCCCATGTAATAGGGGGTGAGCCTATTGCCATATACCGGGCACAATTCCAGACTCCGTGCTACTACTGAGAATTTTTAAAAGCCCAGTAATACTTTGCCCGACCCGGGAATCGAACCCGAGACCCCTTGCCCGGCAGTCGCACTTGCGACCACTCGACCAATGAGGCATGGAACGGAAATATGAATATGAGCTTGAATAATATGTATTGATGAAAACTTTGCACCGATGTGGGTTGTACATAAAATAATGTATTCTAGTCCTAAAAACTGACTTCAAAAACTAAATACTAACGAAAAGTAAAACCTAAAAAGCAAAAAATAACTATCGGTTAGTTAGCTAGTCGGTGCCACAAACCCATAACAAAATATATCTTAGGTAATGGTCACAGGTATAATATTGTACTATTATATAAAGCGGAAGGGGTTGTTTTTTTGTTTGAACGCGCTAATAACTACAAGTCTGATTTGAATAATTCTTTTTGTGTTGGATAGCGCATTTATCGAGGATAGCTATAGGCTATAAAATATTACGCTACGACCAATAGGAGCTGAGCAGAGCATGTGAAACCACGCGGAAGTAGCTAGTCCATAATAAAATTGTTAACAGCTTAATAATGTTAGGTATCTATTAAGATTTTAATTAATAAAACTTGTGGCACCGACTTCTAACCTATCATTGGGTGTGTAAGCTATAAGTACGTATGGCCAATAATAGTTATTTATTGCTTTTTAGTCTTAACTTTTCGTTTGTTTTTAGTTTTTGAAGTCGGTTTTTTTAAACGCAGTTTTTTATTTAATATTTTATTGTATTGAACAGTCAAAATAATTTATTTTTGACTAAGAAAAATAACCCAATTCATCACTATTATTTATAACTGCTGGACAAGGGGTCTTGAGTTCGATTTCCAGGTCGGTAAAGTATAACTAGGTTTTTTCAAAAAATCTCAGTAGTAGTACGGAGTCTGGAAATGTACCCGGTCTATGGCAATTTTTTTTTTAAGGGGGGAAAATCATCGAATGACTGCTCCCGCCTGGGTGAGGCGGAAGGGAGTGTCAGACTCTTACTGACTAAAAACCACCCCGTTCCTTCTCCTGCACGTCGAGCCAGAGCCCCGGTTACCCGTTAGGTTCTCCGCGACGGCTCACCCCCTATTAAATGGGACTCATAACATAAATAATGAAGAGTGGGTACGTTACATTTTACAGTGGCATAAAGTGCCATAATGTGCATCTCTGACAACCCCTTTGGAAATAAAAAGCGTGATGTTATGACATTATTTATTTATTATAGACTGCCTTGTTGGCTAAGTGGTAATTTCCATAATTCCAGTCACTGTGCTAAGCTAATCACTAAATAGTATAAAACAAAGTTATCCGCCGTCTGCCTGTCCCTATGTATGCTTAGATCTTTAAACCTACGGAACGGATTTTGATGCGGTTATTTTAGATAGAGAAGAATAGATAGAGTGAATCTTAAGGAACGTTTATACGTATAATACATGCATATTGCACCCGTGCGAAGCCGGGGCGGGTCGCTAGTGAGAAATTTAAAAAAACCAGTAATATTTTGTCCGACGCGGGAATCGAACCCGAGACCCCTTGCCCGGTAGTCGCAATATAAACATAATAGAAACTAATAGATATGTCAATATCAGGGATTTGCTTTAATATTTATCTTTATCAAGAAAATTGAGAAAGCGCTGATGCACGGTATGCTCCAAGATGCAGTCCCTTAGACGGGTATACGACACCCGCGGGAAGACTATGTATAATATACTGTGTTCACTCACCAAACTTGATTCTGATAGTCAACAAAGACAGGTGGATGAGCAGTGGACACGGTGGCCGCTAGTGCAGCGCCGCGACGTTGCTCGGCACGGAGGCTGGCCGCCTGACGGGCTCGTAGGGGGGTCAGGGAGGGGGGAAGGGGGACGGGGTTCGATATCGAAGGGGGGACGTCTGCTGTAAGAAGAAAAAAGTTAAAACATTATTAGTTTACTCGCCATTCTACTCGGTAACCAGTTCGTCGTGATTTTTTATTATGGATAGACGTGTCTCTGCCATGGACCATCGCGAAGAACTTATTGCTTATTTGTTATTAAGAAGCCATTACTCTTCTATGCTGGAACAAGCGCTCCCGTTCGCAACGCAAACTGCCGATTTTAGCGTTGCAGCGACGCAACGCGGTTATGTGTTTCGGCCCTAAGTGAGTACCCAGCTATACCGCCACTCAGTGGTCACTGCGAGCTTACAGCGCTCCACGCGCGAGCGGCTCGCAGCGGGCTCGTGTCTACGTACTCACTTGATACAGTATCTGATACGTTACGTGCTACACTGCTAAGTGAGTACCCAGGTTTAGGAGAAGGACGAGCAAGAAACTCCATAGGTTAGTCTTTTTCAATCAGGTTCACAATACAATAGGGTAGACGACTAATTTTTATTTTAATGTCCGTCTGGTAGATTATTTAAAAATATTAGACACGTATTTTTTACTTTCTTAAGGAAACGAATAGTTTCGAAGATATATTGATTTGAAATATCGCGTGACGTACCTTCTCAGTACATTTTATACTAAGAAATGACGTTTTAGCCCCCACTCCTTAACTTTGATTCGTTTTATCTAAGTATTGTTTTATTATACGACAAAATAAAAAATACGTGTCTAATATTTTTTAATTACCTAACTTACGGACTAATCCTTACTTATCCTTACTAATACTATAAATCGGAAAGTGAGTTTGTTTGTTCCACTTTCACGCCGTAACTACTAAACCGATTGCTTTGAATTTTTGCAGACGTAAAGTTAGAAGTCCGGATTAAATAATAGGGTACTTTTTATTCCCGAAAAAATTTGATATTCCCGAGGGAAAACAAAAGAATTGGTATAGATGGCGCTGTGTGTATTGGTATATGTCACATAGGCTACTTTTATCCTTTTGTGACGCGAGCGAAGCCGCAGGTTAAAGCTAGTTAGATTTTTAATTTTCATAATTGTCATCATCCCCATTCTTGGTAACAATATTTCGACTGACTGAAGAGACAACATGATGAGCATGGAAAAGAAATGACTTACCATTACTTAGGGAGCTGCTCCTTCGTCGCATGGAGTCCGCCCTGCCTTCAGGTCGCGATCTATGGACCACTTTTACAGGCGACGTTATTGTAGGACCTCTACTGGAATCAATGAACAACACAGATATAATTAATCGGTTTTATTTAGCTCGCCCCCGTTTGTGCGTTTGGGGTCAAGTTTAGTAAATGGGTACTTATCTTAATCAAAAATAAATTATTTCGACTGTTCAATATAATCCTTACTAATATTATAAATCTCAAAGTGAGTTTGTTTGTTTGTTCCACCTTCACGCCGTAACTACTCAACCGATTGCTTTAAATTTTTGCTGACGTAAACTTAGAAGTCCGGATTAAATAATAGGGTACTTTTTAACCCGTAAAAATTGATATTCCCGAGGAAAAACAAAAGTATTGGTATAGATGGCGCTGTGTGTATTGGTATATGTCAAATAGGCTACTTTTTATCCTTTTGTGACGCGAGCGAAGCCGCGGGTAAAAGCTAGTCAAAAATAAATTATTTCGACCGTTCAATACAATAAAATATGTATAAAAACCATCACACTTTCATTGATTGATTTTATGACCAATTTCATTTTAGAATTTTTCCAGACAATTTGTGAGAAATAAGTGTTTAACGTTAATAAATTACAATTAAGTACTTGCCAACTAGTCAAATTCAATCTTTTTTTTCGAACTGTCAAAAACGACAGTGTTCTATGAATTTTGTACGAGATTGTGTATTGTGACGTCACGTCACGTCATTGTCAAAAATGTGCTAGAAAAATACTAAAATTAAGTTGGTCATAAAATCAATGAATGAGAAAGTGTGGTTATTTTTTAATGTTTTATTGTATTGAACAGTCGAAATAATTTATTTTTGATTAACCCGTCGAGCGTCCGCATTCCTTATGATCCAAAGGGTGCACACGTGACATTTGGAGAAAGAAAATGCATTTATTTGGCCATTGGCACACGAAAACAAGGATCATTACAATAGAAATAAAACAAATACAGTCAAAATAAAAACAAAACATTAATAATAGATTTTATAAAAGAGAAAGCAGCATGGAGCATTTTTCTTATGATCCACCGGGTGCTCATAAGGACGCTCAAGGGGTTAAGGAACCCAATTAAACTGTCAAACACCAAGCGGTCACCGGTGACCACCGCAACCTATTGTTCTTTAATTGTGTCTATAATGACGGTACTCGACGAGTTAAATAACTTCAAAAAAAGAGCGGGTTGAAGTCGGTATTTTTAATAGAAGTTTATAAGGTTGACCCCATATTTGGCGTGCGCGATCTTCGACCGTGCGAGCTGCCGACTGCCGTGTGACGTGTGTAAGGCGTGCGCGCGGCGTTCGCCTTGGCGTTTAACCCCCTTTAGACAAGTCAGTCACAATTTGACCAGTGCCCTGTTAGCACACGTCGATGCTCTACTATTCTACAATCACTAACAAAATGGACTCAGACGAGAAAACAATACTATTAGCTTTACTACTAAAAAGAAATAAAACACGTAATAGAAAGACTAAACGCTTCTGGCAAGATACATTATGGTATTCTTGTTCACAAGAAAGTGATTACTATATTTTGTATGGCAGACATATAAAGAACTAGCTTTTACCCGCGGCTTCGCTCGCGTCACAAAAGGATAAAAAGTAGCCTATGTGACATATACATACAGCGCCATCTGTACCAATACTTTTGTTTTCCCTCGGGAATATCAAATTTTTCCGGGATAAAAAGTACCCTATTATTTAATCCGGACTTCTAACTTTACGTCTGCAAAAATTCAAAGCAATCGGTTTAGTAGTTACGGCATGAAAGCGGAACAAACAAACAAACTCACTTTCCGATTTATAATATTTGTAAGGAAGTAAGGATAGTGAAAAGCTTTCGATATTAATTTCACTCGGTGCCTCCATTTTTAATGCGTGTAAACACACCACTGTCCATCATGCGACTGACCGTCGACCGAATCAGTAGCGGACGGCGGGGATAGCGGGGGAAGGGGTAAGAACGCGACTCGAGCGGCGCGCACACTGTACGCACGCGCGGCGCCCGCGCACGCTAAATGTGGGGGCAGCCTAAAAGTGTTGTGTTATCAAAATTAAGTTTTACATCATAACATCACGCCTTTTATCCCCGAAGGGGTAGGCAGAGGTGTTCATTATGCCACTGTACCATTGTACAGTGGCATAATGAACACCTCTGCCTACCCCTGTGTTACATTTAACACCCACTTTTCACTATTTATGTTATGAGTCCTATGTAATAGGGAGTGAGTCTATTGCCATACGGTATATGGCACAATTCCAGACTCCGTGCTACTACTGAGAATTTATAAAAACCCAGTAGTACTTCGCCCGACCCGGGAATCGAACCCGAGACCCCTTGACCGGTAGTCGCACTTGCAACCACACGGCCAACGAATTAAATACATTAAACTGTCAAACACCAAGCGGTCACCGGTGACCGCAACCTATTGTTCTATAATTGTGTCTATAAATACGGTACTCGACGAGTTAAATAACTACAAATTAAATAACTACAAGTATAATATAAAAATGAATTTTTCAAACTTACCTATCCTGGTTTTCATCCTGCCTCGTCGGGCTTTCTTTTTTGGTCTGACCAATAGATTTCAGTCTTGTTAGTAAAGATAACTCTGTTAAGCCCCGCTTCCAAATAGGTTTATTTTGAGTCTGATTCTGTTCTGATGTTTCTGAAAAATATAAAACGAATTTTAAAAAAATTGCCAATTTATTGTTTTTTATGGTATAAGCCGGTAAACGAGCAGACGGATCACCTGATGGTAAGCAATCGGCATCGTTTATGGACACCTGGAACACTAGAGGCGTTTTAAGGGCGTTACCAGCCTTTTGGGGATTGGGAATTTGAAGATTGTGGGGGATTGGGGAGACTGGGGAGGGGAGTAATTAGGCCTCCGGTAACCTCACTCAGATTAAGACACACAACACAAGCGTTGTTTCACTATGGTTTCTGGCCGTGGTATCACTCCGGTTCAGCCGGCCCAGCAGTGCCGACGCATGGCTCTCCCACACTTCAATAATATTTAATAAGATGTTATTTTAGCCATCTTCAGTACCTTTGATTCACTTCGTTATAATATTATGGATTATGGCCAGAGAGAACTAATTGTTCGTCAACTTTACAACTTACAGTAGTCAGTAATTCTGTCGGGGATCCGAATCGGATTATAGTAATGTTTATTTTTTTTATATTATAAATTTCGTGAGACATCCTACATTAATTATTATGTTTGCGTATGTACACACGCAGGTCTCGCGTGTCGACTGTGTGCTACAGTAGCAACGACAGTCGCCGCATCGCGCGTCGCGAAATGCTGCCCATGAATATGAGCCTCTAGCATGGCTTGAACCTAGTCGAGTTCCTCGTCAAATAATTACGTGAGTAAGCCGAACTTATTTTACTTATTTTTTTTACAAATAATAAGTAATTTTTGGTTTAGATTCCTGCTTCCGACAAAGCTTTTGGCTTCTTCATCCACTACATCACGGCTACACACATGAGACTCAAACAACACAGATGATGAAACGACAGTGTTACAACTCAATAATCAAGTGTGGGCTCGCCATGTGTGATACCACAACCGAGCTGGACGCTAGAGTGACACACAGTGATGTGTGCACACGTGGGAGTGACTGTGGTGATGGGTAGCGGAGACCCAATTACCCCCCCCCCATCTCCCCAATCTCAAATCCCCAATTTCCAAAACGCCGGTAACGCAACTGTAACGCCTCTGGTGTTCCGTGTGTCCATGGGCGACGCCGATTGCTTACCATCAGGTGATCAGTCTGCTCGTTTACCTTATCCAATAAAAAAACAACTCTGTGTGCACCTTTATTGCTCCGAAAACTTAAAGGCTATAATTTTAAGTTATACTTAAGTTTACTATGACGTGTGGGCCAGCAATCGGTACGATCAACCATTTTACAGGGAACGGAGCGACCCAGCCCACAGCGCCACCGACTGCGGCAGTAAGCCGATTGCAGCGTAAGAATTAAGAGCGTTAGGTTATGTTATAAAAATTGGTTGCCTGTAAAGTCGGTATACGGGCGAAAGTTTTACGTGACAACGACTTTGAGTGGTAAAATAATTTTAATGTGAATATTCATTCGTATAGTAGGAAGAAGGATGTATCTCTCTCACTCTCTCTCTCTCTCTCGCTCTTAGGCGGGCTAACTGTGCTCGAGTGGAAGGGACGCGTGCCTTTCACTTTTTATGTCTGTCTCTCTCGCTCTTAGGCGGGCTAACCATGCCCGAGTGGAAGGGACGCGTGCCTCTCACTCGCTCTCATTGTGAGCGCATAAGCGTGACGCAGTTTCTTGAAGTGTCACCCGGAAAACCAATTTATAAGACGTTGTCACGTCAAAAACAGTATTACCTATAATTAATCAAATTAACTCACCATTTTTAATCTCTCTTTTAGGACTAGTGTTGACCCTCCTCGCTTCCCTCGGTCGATTCGCATCATAGGAATTTTGACTCCGCGCCCTCTCCACAGATCTTAATCGATTAACGTCATTGTTTACATGATTCTGACTTCTTGCATCGCCATTACAATTCACCTCAGCATTAACCGTCACACCGGAATTATTATTACTTAAAAATAAATATTCATACGTCGAATCACCGACTTCTAAATTAGGTAAGGAAGACTTTCTAGTTTTTTCAACATTTTTTAGCTTTTTCACTGGCAGAGGGGACGGTTTTGAGTTGGACGTGGAAGCCATGCATAATCTTTCATATATCTCTTCATTTTGATTCGAAGTCGGAACATTCGGTATAGTCGGCAAAGTCGGTAAAGTCGGCAAAGTCGGTAAAGTCGGCAAAGTCGGTAAAGTCGGTGCAATCGGAAAACTCGGAAATTCCGGTTCATTCGTACCCGATAAACTCACAGTTGTTGTCAAACTGAGATGTCCATAATCGGAATCTTTTGAAAATGTTGTACCATAGTCGTTTTGTTCTGTATTGACTATATTCACAAAATTCGGTTTCGGTTCATCGTTAATGGTTACTTTTTGCTTAAATTCGAAGTCAAATACATCTGTTTCGGGGCCTAGCACGGGTATCGCTGTGTGTGGTGGATCCTTGTTTGATACTTGTATCACTGTGACGTTCGTCGCTTGGTGATTGCTGTAAAGAATAAAAATAATCAATCAATCAATTTATTTATTCAGATAATACAATCCATATTGTTAGTAAAAGACATATACAACTGTGGCGACGCATGTCACATGTCAACGGATGACGTCACAAGAATCCTACATCGCACATGCAAAGTTTACAAGCGAATAAACACGGATAGAAAATCCCAACGAACAACTGTTGGGCAGAAAGCGGCCAGGCACGATCACCTCGCCTGGTCGGAGGATCTTCCTTTTCCGATCTTAGGGAACTATACACTCTGTTCCCTAAACAACTTATAAACTAGTATTTAGTACATCAAACCTCATCATATAAAATTAAAATAATTTGTCATAGATAATATAATTTTTTTTTTCTTTGGCAACCAAGTCTCCAATACGATGTTGTCGACTATACTGCCAGTGTCGAGTGGATAATATAATAATAATACAGTAACAATACAGACGACTTTTACTACTTATACTTTTATTACTTATAAATATTATAAGAGTACCTGTCTAAATAGATTAAGTTCATTAGGTTGGCAACATTTTTCACACACACAGTCATATTTCACACACATTCAAATTATGTTCATACAGTCCACTCATCTAGAATAAATTATAAAGAAAGTTGTGTGCAATAAATATCCGTTGAGTAAAGACGTATTATAAAGTTTTATTGATCCGGCAAACTTCCTGCCACCAATTATTTTTTTCTTACCCTTTTTTCCTTCCTTGGACGTTCACGAACATTTCAATACAAAAATTAGCCAAATTGGTTCAGTCGTTCTCGAGTTTTACCGAGACAAATGAACGGAAATTCATTTTTATATTATACTTGTATTTAATTCGTTGGCCGAGTGGTTGCAAGTACGCAAAGTATTACTGGGTTTTTAAAAAAATCTCAGTAGTAGCACGGAGTCTGGAATTGTGCCCGGTATATGGCAATAGGCTCACCCCCTATTACATGGGATTCATAACATAAGTTGTGAAAAGTGGGTGTTACATTGTACAGTGGCATTAAGTGTCGTAATGTGGACCTTTACCTACACCTTCGGGGATAAAAAGAAGAGACATTTTGTTATGTTATAATACAAAAATCACACTCACCTCCCACTATCACCATTTCCGATCTCATCCCCATTACTGACGACGACTCGTTGCGTATAGTCTTCATCTTCGCTACACATCTTATCGATTTCGGCAAAAAATTCTTCATCGCTATCAGTAACATTCGTCCTTTTAAATATTGAATCGTCTAAGCATATATTTTGGCCACATATTTTAGCCACACTTCGATTTTCGACCGTATTTTGAGAAGTGCTAGGTAGAGCTGTGAATGGGACGTCCCAATTCGATATGTCGATATTGTTTTCTTCTGTTGTTGTCGTGGGTTCGATTTCTGGTTGAGTTTCTGGCGATTCTGGTATCGTTTCTGGTGGTCGCGTTGTTAGCTCTATGCCGGGTACTCTGTAATGATACAATATTTATTTATTTAATATTATGCTACAGTTGCACTGTGTCGCGGAGAACCTAACGGGTAACCGGGGCTCCGGCTCGACGTGCAGGAGAAGGAACGGGGTGGTTTTTAGTCAGTAAGAGTCTGACACTCCCTTCCGCCTCACCCAGGCGGGAGCAGTCATTCGATGATTTTCCCCCCTTAAAAAAAACACTTGCACTGTAGATAATTTTGTAAATGATAATAATACTAGCTTTTATTCGCGGCTTCGCTCGCGTCACAAAAGGATAAAAAGTAGCCTATGTGACATATACCAATACACACAGCGCCATCTATACCAATACTTTTGTTTTCCCCTCGGAAATATCAAATTTTTCCGGGATAAAAAGTACCCTATTATTTAATCCGGACTTCTAACTTTACGTCTGCAAAAATTCAATTCAATTCTAATGATTTAGTTCGATTTTTGTTTTTTTTTTTTAATGAGTTCATTTGTTATTTGTATTTTTTGTACACCCCCACCCCCACCCGTTAGGTTCTCCGCGACTCCAATGTAGATTGTGTCTAGAGATATATTTCTCAAAATTCCTGAAACTGGGATATTTCTTCGGTTAAAAATAATAATTATGTTTTGATCTGTTATGAAAATCATCAATAGCCTATCTTCTTCATTATAGAAGAAGACAGATGAAGAAGTAGATAGAAAAAGACCTTAATTTTTTTTAAACGTTGCCTCGCACTAGGACCAGATTTTCTCCTGAATTGTGGGTGCGTTTACAAACATAAAAGTTCAAATACACACGACACCCATAAGCACCCATACCATGAGTGATCACACAAAGAGTTGTTCCGTGCGGGAATCGTGACACGTTGCGCGGCAGCTAGCTGCCCAACCACCGCGTCAACCGTGCAGTCGAAACTAATAATTATTGAGTTTTTTTATTGAGAAAGTGTGGTGATTAATGTTCAAACCTTCTCCGTGTGAGACGGGGCTCTGATCAGCAGTGACCAATTCAAAGGCTGTTGATGATGATGAGATGATATGAAGGTGGTAAAACAGAGTCTTAGACAGTTAACTTACCTATCAGGCGGAGTAGGTGGCGTAGGTGGTAAAGGCGAGGTAGGATCCCTCGCTGCAGCCCTTGGGGGCGGCGGTAGGGGCGGCGGGGCTGGACCGGAACAGTATACGTTCTCACCGCGAGATAGAATCTTTAGTTCATGTAGTGTATTGCGCAGTGTCGTCACCCAATCCTGCATTGATTCCCTGAAATTGTTTGGTTAGATTATAAGTATAGTGTACATTATGACTGCCTCGTTGGCCGAGTTTTTTTTTTTAAGGTGGGAAAATCATCGAATGTCTGCTCCCGCCTAGATGAGGCGGGAGGGAGTGTCAGACTCTTACTGACTAAAAACCACCCCGTTCCTTCTCCTGCACGTCGAGCCGGAGCCTCGGTTACCCGGTAGGTTCTTCGCGACTCGTTGGCCGAGTGGTCGCAATGTGACTGCCGGACATGGGGTGTCGGCTTCGATTCCCAGGTAGGTTTTAACCTTTTCGCCGCCAACAACTTCTATAGAAGTTCAGGATTTTCGTGCCGTCCACGCCACTACTTCTATAGAAGTTCATTGTATCTACCTACTATAAAAAATACATTTACGATACATAAAACATTTGTTTCTTTGTAATTTTGTAATATGGACACGACGAACTATTTTTTCTCATGCAAAACAGACTATTTTCTGTTTTAAAAAGGTAAAACATAAAAGGTTTCAAATAATTTTATATCCCGCACGCCAACGACTTCATATCAAGTAGGCCAGTGATGTGACGCGTAAGGAGCATTCATTAGAATCTTTATTTACTATAATATTTGTTTTCTTTTCCATCCAATAGTTTTTTGAATTCTATGAATAAAAAGAAATTCCGGTCAGTAAATAACGTATTACAATGCGTTTCAAAATTAATGTACATCTACCTATCAAATCATTTCATTAAAATTAATTATTATGTACTGAGGGTTTTCGATATTGCTAGACCCATCTCTACGTAATGGCAAGATGTCGAGTGACACTAGCGCCGTCAACTTCAATAGAAGTAAACCTGTGACGTCGTAAGCGCTTAGGCGTCAAGGTCATTGTGTCATAGTTCCGGGCGACGCGTGCACGCACGCAATCGCACTTAATCGATTAATCGCACGGCCTATACCTATAATTATTTTCATGATTATGAAATATCCAAATGATTGAGTCATTTTGATTCGATTACAAACTGTTTGGGTCGCGAAAAATTTGTGATCGACTCAGGTCTATATTTGTTCGCCGACACAGCTAAAAGTTTGCGAAACCGAGAGCCGCAACGAATAGGTATTTTATGACTACCTAATATCCATCAAACGTGCCAGTTTTTCATTTGCATTAAATGAAAAATAAGCTATTAAAGTTTAGTACATCTGTATTAAAATAGTTACTTACCATCCATTTCCAAAACTACACATATGTTGCCACTTTTAATCACTACAAACAATGTTCCTGATCGTGACCTGACGTTAGATTTTTAACCGACTTCAAAAAAAGGAGGAGGTTCTCAATTCGACCGTATATATGCTTTTTTTTTTTTTTATGTTTGTTCGCCGATATCTCCGTTGTTTATAAACCGATTTTGAAAATTCTTTTTTTGTTAGAAAGGAGATAGTTCCAGAATGGTCCCATGATAAGGAAATCAGGATCTGATGATGGAAGACCAGGGAAACCGAGGGGAACTTTTAAAAATTATAGGGGTGACTAGGGCATTTGTTAATTTTTTCATTAAGTATTAAAAACCACTACAATCTGATAAAGGTCTGGAGCCGATCTGATGATGGAGCCGAGAGCCAGTTGAGGGAACTCCTCAACGGTTAACAGTAGCTACCTTGTGTTTGGGTTTGATTAAATTGTATTGATGAGGACTTTACACCTGAGTGGGGTGTAATTGTCAATAAGGGTCTGATGATGAAGTAGTACGATAGTTGAGGGGACTCCTCAACGGTTAACAGTAGCTACTTTGTGTTTGGGTTTGATTAATTTGTATTGATGAGGACTTTACACCTGAGCGGGGTGTAATTGACAATAAGGGTCTGATGATGAAGTAGTACGATAGTTGAGGGAACTCCTTAACGGTTAACAGTAGCTACCTTGTGTTTGGGTTTGATTAATTTGTATTAACTCGTCGAGTACCGGTTTTATAGACACAATTAAAGAACAATAGGTCGCGGTCACCGGTGACCGCTTGGTGTTTGACAGTTTAATGAGGACTTTACACCTGAGTGGGGTATAATTGACAATAAAGGTCTGGTGATGAAGTAATACGATAGTTGAGGGAACTCCTCAAAGGTTAACACTAGCTACCTTGTGTTTGGGTTTGATTAATTTGTATTGATGAGGACTTTACACCTGAGTGGGGTGTAATTGTCAATAAGGGTCTGATGATGAAGTAGTACGATAGTTGAGGGAACTCCTCAACGGTTAACAGTAGCTACTTTGTGTTTGGGTTTGATAAATGACAATGACCAAATTTGTATGGAGCGTGGTGCCTTTTCATTTTTTCGCGGCAGTTGATCGGATGTGGATAAACTGATGCAGAATAACATTACAAACAAAAAAATGTACGGGGTCTTATATCAAAAACACAGTCCAAACCGAGTTAAATCAGTTCAAAGATGTGAAAATAGTGCTATATAATTCCTGTGATTTTGTTGATGGTGACCACAGATGGTGACCGTACACAACGCATATTTCTTCATTTGCTTGTCAGAAATATTTTGTAATAAATGTTTATAGACGATTTCAAGGAATATAATAAAGCTTATTGTGGACTTTTATAATTATTTTGTTTGTTTGTTATTTCTTTTTTTTTGTTGTAAGGTTTAACTGACCACTGCTGAATAAAAAAAAAACATTTCGTTTGATTGGCTAGCGTGTTCAATTTAATTCAATTGAGTTCAATACGGTTTATGGCCTATGACAGATTTTCATGATCAATTTCCTCTCAGTCAAAAACCCGCAAAATACTTTACTGAGCCCTATCATGAAATGCTATGTTTGTCAGCTGCGGCGTCAGTAGCGGATTGAGTAGTAACAGTCGTCAAAACACGAAAAAATCATTTATCTGTCTACTTCTCCCGACTTACTTCCGATTAGTACCTAATCTAACTACAGTTAATACTTTAATCTACATCTAGCATAAGATTATGTACAAAGACATCGTCATTCAGTCACAAAGTGATGCATTTGAAATGATCACATTATATGAAAAAATTATGCGCTTATCTGACGTATAGTCCATCACTTTACAAACTCGATGGTTTGCTTTCTTCAAAAGATTATGCTAATTATAAAGTAGATGAGTCTCCCACCAGAAGTCAACGGCAAAAAAATACTTTATTAGATGTTTGGACGGCTACAACTACTCAACCCACCACTGGTACCACAGCTGACACTCATGAAGCTTCATGACACAACTCCTAGAAGCACCCCACAAGTTATCGACTGAGAGAAAATAGCTAATAAAAATTAGCGACTGGCAATATAGATATATTGTGGTGTGATTTGGTGTTTCTGTGCCCGGCGTACAGTGGCGCGCAATTTGAAGGTAGGAATTGTGACAAAAATATGAATAAATTGAATAAAAAAACGAAAGTAAAATGTTTGATTCCAGCTCCTTTCAACGCTCATAACTCAGTCCAGACTGAGATTTCCATATATGAGCCCATAGACAATTTCGTTTGTAATGACATTCTAGATAATATTTTCCATAAATCATCGACTGCCGCCAGAAAAAAGAAAGGCACCAATTTTAGTCAATGCCCTTTGTATTGATGAGGACTTTACACCTGAGTGCGGTGTAATTGACAATAAGGGTCTGATGATGAAGTAGTACGATAGTTGAGGGAACTCCTTAACGGTTAACAGTAGCTATTTTGTGTTTAGGTTTGATTAATTTGTATTGATGAGGACTTTACACCTAGATGGGGGGGGGGGGTGATGGTCATTAAAGGTCCAATGACGAAGTAGTATGATAGCTAAGGGACTCCTCAATGGTTAAGAGTACCCATCCGGTGTTTGAACTTGCATAATTTGTATTGATGAAAACTTTGCATCCATGTGGGTTTTGTATAATATAATATATCAAAGTACTAAACTAAAAAGTATAAAATAAAATTAAAAAACTGCGTTTAAAAAATCCGACTTCAAAAACAAATGACAAACAAAAAGTAAAAACTAAAAAGGAAAAAAAAACTATTAGTGGTCATACGTACTTATAGCTTACACACCCACTGATAGGTTAGAAGTCGGTGCCACAAACCCACAATAAAATATAAAGTAGACAAAAGTCACAGCTGGTATAATCCATAATAAAATTGTAAACAGCTCAATAATGTTAGGTATCTATTAAGGTTTTAATGAATATATAATAATTAGGTTTAAAACTTGTGGCACCGACTTCTAACCTATCAGTGGGTGTGTAAGCTATAAGTACGTATGACCACTAATAGTTTTTTTTTCCTTTTTATAAATGTAAACTAAAACCAAAAGCAAACCAAACTCGATAGAAAGAAAGAAAAGCATAGACAACTATTCCTTACGAAATGTATCGTGCTTTGAACGCCAATGACTTGATATGAAGTAAACAGACTACGTTATGAAATGAATAGTGAAGTGGCTAATGTTACGAATTATTATTATTATCTCTAGCAACTCTATGCATGTATCTTCATCTCTGATAACGGATACCCATTTTTCTTAGTATAAATGTTCATAAAATAAAACAAATTACCATTATAACTTAACAGTTTGTATTTTTAATTGTAAATTTGAGTACCAATTTAAATTTACACATATTTTTTTTCATTATCGACATGATGTTACCGCCATCCCTACTTTCGTACTATACATTTATTATACATTTATACGTTGGCGTACGGCGACACATCGTGTTTAGTATAGCTGGGCGGCGAAAAGGTTAAAGTATTAGTGGGTTTTTAAAAACCTCTATATAGTAGCACGGAGTCTGGAATTGTGTCCAGTATATACACTCATTCACCCCCTATTATATGGGACTCATAACATCAATAGTGAAAAGTGGGTTGGGTGTTATATTGTGCAGTGGCATTAAGTGTCGTAATGTGCACCTCTGCCTGCCCCTCGGGGATAAAAGGCGTCTTGACAGCCATAGTAACTGGAAAAGTCATAAAGTACCAAACTCAACACTAGCGCCATCTGTACACTTCTAGTTTCAGTGGTGTACACACCTTGTAATGTTTAAATGAATTTAGTAATAACAGAAATAAAATCTAAAAACTCACCAATCAGGAGCCAGCATCCTCACGGCTCCTCCATCGGTGTCAACGAGAAAATCATATTGGTCTCCGCAGTGTGGTTTGACACTGGCGGTGACGTGTCTGGCCGCGCGGAGACAGGCTCTCCATACTGGCTTATGAGTTATAGCTGCTGGACTACTGGCTTCAGGATACTGTTCCAGGTAGGGGGTCTTACCGTTGTGCACGCATAGCTGCGTCCACATCGGCTTTAGAGGTACTTTCTGAAAAGGGGATTAACCATTTTATTAATATAATTCCCTTCTTCTTCTTAATCTTTCCCCAATCTCCCCAATTCCTGAATCCCCAACGATCCTCAAACTCCTAATCCCCAAAAGGCCGGTAGCGCACTTGTAACGCCTCTGGTGTTCCAGGTGTCCATGGATGACGCTGATTGCTTACTATCAGGTAATTCGTCTGCTCGTTTACCAGCTTATGCCATAAAAAAAATATATATAAAAATGAAACCAATTTTCCGTTGTCACGCCATAACTTGAGAATGGCTAGACCGATTTGGGTGATTTTTTTTGTTGTGTTTATTATTGTCAGTAGAAGGTTCTTATTAGAGGCTCCTGCTCAGTAGGCTGCGCGATACGCTGCTCATGAGGAAACAGCTCTCTGTAGTTCGAAACTACTAGAGCTTTTCTCAGTATGTTCACGTACTTACTAACTTAAGTATGGCCGTTATGTAGAATACACTTATGTAGGCCCATATTTCAGCAGTGGACGGTCGCGATCTTTTGATGTCAACATGTGTAATTGTGTACTTGCCAACTAGTCAACTTCAATATTTTGTACGAACTGTCAAAATCGACAGTTTTCTATGAATTTTGTACGAAATTGTGTATTGTGACGTCACAGTTTTTTAGCGTCAAACAGCATGCATAATTCTTAAGAAAATGCTGGGAAAATACTATAATTAAGTTGGTCATAAAATCAATTAATGAAAGTGTGATTATTTTTTTATATTTTATTGAATTGAACAGTCAAAATAATTTATTTTAAATTAAGGAAAGTACTCAATCGTTGCTATTCACATCAATAAAATACATACGTATGGAACAGTCTGTGTATAAACAATAGGCCAGCGATATAAGATTGAATACTTAACAGATATGTATAACAATAGCTGTATTGACTATTGTTATATCAACATTTTTACAACGTTTAACAATGAAACATAACAGAAAAACATAACATAATATCCCCGAAGGGGTAGGCAGAGGTGCACACAGAAGTAACACCCACTTTTCACCATTTATGTTATGAGTCCCATGTAATAGGGGGTGAGCCTATTGCCATATACCGGGCACATTTCCAGACTCCGTGCTACTACTGAGATTTTTTTTAAAACCCAGTAATTCTTTGCCCGACCCGGGAATCGAACCCGAGACCCCTTGCCCGGCAGTCGCACTTGCGACTACGGGTTTGCTTCCCGGGTCAGGCAAACGAATTTTAGAATTGTGCCTTATAACATTGGGTGTCATAACATAAAAAGTGAAAAGTGGGTGTTACATTGTACAGTGGCATTAAATGCAATAATGTGCACCTCTGCCTACCCCTTTGAGGATAAAAGGCGTGATGTTATATCCTATGTAATAGGAGGTGAGCCTATTGTTTATTTTATTAAAAACAAAGAAAATATACAAGAATCCTACCTTACTACTAAGTGGTCTCAGCTTGCTACCACCAACTTCGTTAGGTATCCGTTTAAGGTATGCATTCTTCTGTATCTCCCTATAGTACACAGGTCCTTCATCTCTATCTCTGCTAGATGCCATTGTATATACGTCATTCAGCTGCTGAAAAATTAAAAATAAAATGGTTTTATTAAAATGCCTTACTGAACTAGTAAGTGTATTAATGTAATTGTGGGAGAGCCATGCTTCAGCACGAATGGGCCGGCTCGACCGGAGTGATACTACAGCCTCACAGAAAACCGACGTGAAACAACGCTTGCGATGTGTTTCGTCGTGTGAGTGAGGTTACCGAAGGCCCAATTACCTCCTCTCCCAGTCTCCCCAATCCCCGAATTCCCAATTCTTAAAAGGCCGGTAACGCATCTGGTGTTCCAGGTGTCCATGGACGACGCCGATTGCTTACCATTAAGTGATCCGTCGGCTCGTTTACTGGCTTATCCCATAAAAAAAGTAACAAGCTCCTCCAGTATCCAAAGTAGTTCTAATTTTATGTAGAAAGAACAGAACATCACAATATGATATTTAAAAAAAAAAACAAAAGTTTTATGAAGATCTATTGTTCCATTTGAAAATCCACATTTTTCTATTGAAGGGTTTTTTTTATTTTATTTTTTTTAAGGGGGGAAAGTCATCGAATGACTGCTCCCGCCTGGGTGAGGCGGAAGGGAGTGTCAGACTCTTACTGACTAAAAACCTCCCCATTCCTTCTCCTGCACGTCGAGCCGGAGCCCCGGTTACCCGTTAGGTTCTCCGCGACTTCTATTGAAAGGTGGGCCCTAATATTTGGTTTGCACTGTCCATTCTCTGTCATGAATACTTCTAAGTTTGAAAACAGAACTTTGCTGATAAAATATTTATTTATTTATTTTATTTATTTATTTCTACGTCACAAAATGGAACAGTGAATGGCGGACTTAATGCCTTAAGGCATTCTCTTACAGTTAACCATAGGGAAGTGCAGAGAAATGAAGTGGTTGATGCGAAGCCAGAACACAATTGAAAAAATAAAAAAAAGTTATTTAATATGTATAACTACACACATAAATACCTATAGAATAAATATAATAATACAATATTTTATAAATCTGTATAGACATATACATACCATATAATATATACTACTAAACAAATACTTATACCTACTACATAAATACTACAATATATTATATAAAAAAACCTTGTCAGAATAGTTGTCAGTAAATATTATGTCCTAATATGTATACGCTTATACAGCTGAGACGTTAACACTGATTTGAAATTAATGCAACTCACATACTGATGCCAACATATATTTGAATATGATCAGCATATAATTACAGTATTAATGCAATATTTTAGTCATTTTTTATTGCTAAAAAACCATATTTTAGCTATTATGTCAGTAGTATTAGTTATTGTAGGAAGCCACATATTAATGATATCCTTGTTTGTTTTGACTGATTTTAATCCTTATATCCTTATTACTATTATAAATGGGAAAGTGAGTTTGTTTGTTTGTGTGTTTGTTCCGCTTTCACGCGATAACTTCTAAACCGATTGCCTTGAATTTTTGCAGACGTAAAATTAGAAGTCCGGATTAAATAATAGGATACTTTTTATCCCGGAAAATTTTGGTATTCCCGAGGGAAAACTAAAGAATTGGTATAGATGGCGCTGTAGTGGTATGGGCTACTTTTATCCTTTTGTGACGCGAGCGAAGCCGCGGGTAAAAGCTAGTTACTAGATAATTCTTTCACAATAACTTGGTATTTTTTGATACAGAAATTCATTTGAGCTTAAGAGAAAAAAATCTAAAAATCAAAGTTTTAATTAGACCAGGAAGGCAATCAACAAAAAATTTAATAGTGAAGCTATTTGCTCATTCCAAAATGTAGATTCCTATTGAGAAGAAGGAGCAAGAAACTCCATAGGTCTTTTTTTTCGATCAGGTTCACATTCACAATACAATTCTATAGTTATATAGTTTTGTTGGTTCGATTGCGTGAGAACAATGTAACACCAAAATTCAGTCAAAGGGGCCGTTCAATATTACGTAAGCAGATTTTTTACAATTATTCACTCCCCCCTCCCCCTTTGCTGATGCAAAACATTTTAAATTATATCTTTATTATTTTGTAATTTTAATATTCTCTTAGATACCATATTATTATTGTCTAGTTCTTTTTTGGTCTTTGCTTGTAATTTATAATTTGCTTGCCATTTGTGTAAAAAAGTAAATAACTACAGATGACGTAATCATCATATACACCCCCGTAACCCCCATATCATCAAAAATAAGACCCCCCCTACCCCCCATGATGCTTAAGTAATACTTGAACAACCCCAAAGACACCGAAAAAGAAAACAATCTTAAGGACAACTTTACTATAAAATTACTCTGAATGCATTATTATCAAAATGATTGAAGCAATAATATAATGACTAAGAAACGTATGTAGACTAATGCTTATAACAAGAAATAAGTAACTGTACAACATTAAATTATATTATAAATTTATTGACTTTGAATGCATGTGTATGACAATTAATAAAGCAAGTCTTCTATATATACATACTTATCCCCTCTGAATTAACAGAGCGCTTACTACGGGTTTATATTACGTTTAAATAAATCGAAACGAGTATGCGTATGGGGCACTGATTAGCCATCTCCAATGAACCGACTAATTGGAGTGCCTCATTTCAATTGCTTTAACAAAAAACAAACTCCTAAGAAGACCTCATGATGACATGGTACTCTTTATAGCACAGATTATATTAAGGAAAAGGTGTCAATTAAAAAATCTGATTACCTGATGGTAACCCTCAAAAATAAATGTCTTATAGGACTTATACAAAACATTCATTTTTTGAAATACTTTTTAGTTTCCATCAACAATAGAAACAGTAGAATCTTATTAGAAACTATAAGTAAAGTCATAATTAATGCAAATGTGAGATACCTTGAACTAAAATGCATACAACCGATAAATTATAGTTGCACATCCATCATTAACAAACTTATTTACGAGTTTAAAAACATGAATAATTGCTTTGTAATTTGTTAGAGACGATTTATAAGTGTAATGGTCTATAGTCAGGATTTTGCGACCCATATCTGTGCTAACGATCCACAATTGACGCACTGCATGGTCGGAATTAATTGCGGAGGGCATACGGGACACTGACGTGACGGTGACTCAGTTAAAAACTATTCACAATACATCCTATTAAAGTGTACTACCATCTATGGAACTTCCAACACAACGCGATAAACTTTCGATTTACACGTTCAGTATAAAAGTAACCCGGAAACCTACACATGTAAGACGCAGATATAACTGTGATGCAGTCGTTAAATAACAATTATGTGTACAAATGCGAAAGAAAGTGCAAAAAATAATTACCTTTTTTTCAAAGTGTAAACTTGCACCTTTCTCTTCAGTTTAAAACGGGTTGTCAGCGTTTGACCTTCATGCTATATTGTTATAGCGGCGGGTTACGCATTGATTGCGTCGTTGCGAAATAATTATGTTTTGTTTTATATTACAATATTATTTATTTGACAGGAAACATGCACAATGAACACAAAAGCAGTAACGCCATATTTATTATTTATGACATTTGGACTTTCATTATTGCCATTGAACAAAAAAGTTTTCAAAGCTAACTTGGGTTGAATGAAACTTTTTTGTTATCCAATATCCATTTGCTTATAAAGATTAAAAAAATAAATAAAAGGTAAAAAGGTAAAAAAAGGTATTCTTGTAGTGATTGACTACATATTAATGACAAACGAAGATAAATGTTAAGGGTAGAACATTTGTGTTATTACAGTTTTATAATAAAAGAGTGATAATATTAAAATTAATAATTTGAAAGGACCTTTTACTAAATAAATTATATACTTTTTGCTGACAGACATAGACAACAATTAATATGCTGATAATGTAAATGGCGGTGGCATGGCAACAATACGAGGTCATATCATCATTGTCTATGTTGTCCAATTGACGTTTTGTTGTGCCGATAAAGTGAGGAAAACAAATAAGAAAATTGTAAAAAACGTGAGTTTGCATGATTTCAGTAATAGATTATAAGGCATGTCGTTTAGTCTGTTGTTTTGAAACGCTTTCCTAAACAAAATATTGTGTTTTACTTCCTCTTATTTAAATTATCATCGTCACTGTCAAACTGTTTCAACTTTTTAATTTTAGTACGTGTCATTTCCGTGGCGGCGCTGCTGTCCGTACTTATTTTGGTCACGTGACCAATTCAACCGCCAAAATAATTGTCACTTTTTTTCGCCGACCCACAGAATTTTCTGTCGTTAGGAGAAAACGGTTAATTTCTTCGCATTTCTTGATTATTTATCGTTAAAAATACTCAAAAACACGTGCTAAGCCTTTGGCTGAAGTGAAATTTTATCAAAAACTTGTAATTATGGCAAAAGTGCACATAACCAATGTTGTTGTACTCGACAATCCTAGTCCGTTTCTAAACCCTTTCCAATTCGAATTAACCTTCGAATGCATCGAAGAACTAAAAGAAGACTTAGAATGGAAGATGATATACGTTGGATCAGCGGAAACAGAGGAGCACGACCAGGTGTTAGACACGATATACGTTGGCCCAATACCTGAAGGCAGGCACATGTTTGTTTTCCAAGCGCCACCACCTGATGTGACACGGATACCTGAAAACGACGCTCTAGGCGTCACAGTGGTACTCCTAACATGTTCCTACAGAGGCCAAGAGTTCGTGAGAGTAGGTTATTTCATTAACAATGAATACTCTGAATCAGAGCCTGAATTACGTGAGAATCCGCCACCGAAGCCCCGTTTTGACAAAGTAGTTAGAAATATCCTTGCTTCGGAGCCCCGTGTGACTAGATTTAAGATCAATTGGGCTGAACCTGACGCCGCGGCGGCTACGGACTCTGGAGACGGTAATTTGGAGACGTCTCACGCCCCTAGCAATGACTCTTATGGTGCATCGTTCAATGCTGACAGTCAGATCAGTGGGATTGAGTTCCAAGGGAGTTTGAGTGGATATGGTGACAATTCTAACTCGATAGCGCCAATGGAGTGCTGAGGTGAGATATAAAATCACTTTTGTACGCTTTTAAGACTTTGTAATTGTTTTGTTGATCTACTAGTTCTTTATCTTAAACATTGATCTGTTGAAATATCATCTAAATTTGTTCATACAAGAGTAGTCTCTAAGCATCGGAAATAAGGTCTATAATGTAGTTAGTGGAGAGCGGTCACTGGTGACTGCTTGGGGATAAATGTGTATGGTATACTTTATAGTATACTGTTATGTCTGGAAAAGCTGTAAATGTTTATCTAAAACAACTGAGGTGGTCATATATACCTAAGAATGATTTCTTGGCAGTATTCTTTGTCTTATATGAATGATATATTTGTGAGATTTGTATTTGGTAATTTTCCTGTGAGAAACCAAATATAAAAAGTAAAAATGCTTGTGAGAACAAAGGATTTTAAGTAAGTAGTTTACTTATGTGTGCATATTGAGAATAGTAAGAGAGAGTAGGAACCTATCGCAGGTTCAATTCATTTTGCAAAATGAGGTTTTAGTTACAGAAAGTGGGTATTACATTAAAGGATGGACTCCATAATCTAATTGAAAGAAAGAAAGAAAGTTTATTTAGTAGCCAGATCTGCCTGCAGACAGACTTTGATACTGTTTGTAAGTGTCTATCCCCTATGGAATCAAAATATATACAGAGTTGTAGCATAGTAGCTATTAAACTGTCAAACACCGAGCGGTCACCGGTGACCGCAACCTATTGTTCTTTAATTGTGTCTATAAATATGGTACTCGACGAGTTAAGATTGCAAAAATTGTCAGGTTGTGTGTATATTTGTTACTCGATAACATCAAAACAGCTGAATGGATTACGATGCAATTTAGAACAGGGGTAGATTATGATCGAGAGGCTATTTTGTACTACAGGAATGCAATCAAACCTGCTAGTACAGTAAATTTATTTATTAAACTTTATTGCACATACAGTGAAATTGGCAGACTTAATGCCATAGGCATTTTCTGACAGTCGACCATTGGGTGGTACAGAATGTTAAAGCGGTGTAAATATGTACTAATAACCAAGAATTTTAGGTTAGACTAGGTAACTGAGTGCAAATAAAATAATAGTCAAGTCCTAACCTGTTTTCAGACTGTTTACATTATAAATTTTCCATGAAATGAGTCATACACTTGTAGCTATGTCATCATATTTCTTTGTTGTGAATCTAAAACTATTTCTTTTTTAAATCATGGCTTTGACACAGTTTGGAATTGTGTCTGATATATGTGAAGGCAGGTATCCACAGGGAGTAAACGAAATACTGACAAAAATATATATTTTTTATGAACATTTTTGCATAACATAACATCACGTCTTTTATCCCAAAAGGGGTAGGCAGAAGTGCACATTATGCCACTGTACAATGTAACACCCACTTTTCACTATTTTTGTTACGAGTCCCATGTAATAGGGGGTGAGCCTGAGACTCCGTGGTAGCACTGAGAATTTTTTTTAAAAATCCAGTAATACTTTGCCCGACCCGGGAATCGAACCCGAGACCCCTTGTCCGGTAGTCGATGTTGATTACATTTACATTACATAAAAGAAACATTTAATTGCTTATTTTTTTTTAAATTAGACTTGTTTTTTTTTGCCATCACAGAGTTCCTATTGGTTCTACAATCTTTTTAAGTTTAGTAATACTAGCTTTTACCCGCGGCTTCGCTCGCGTCACAAAAGGATAAAAATGCCTATGTGACTTGTGACATATAACAATACACACAGCGCCATCTATACCAATACTTTTGTTTTACCTCGGGAATATCAAATTTTCCGGGATATAAAGTGACCTTTTATTTAATCCGGACTTCTAGCTTTACGTTTGCAAAAACTCAAAGCAATCGGTTTAGTAGTTACGGCGTAAAAGCGGAACAAACAAACAAACTCAATTTATAATATTAGTAAGGATAATCTAAGGGTTGAACCTTAAACTTTATGCTTGACAAGGTAAATGAGCAGTCAACCATACTCTCAGTATTTTATTAATAATATACAATGATGATATAATGACCTTTTCTTGACATTTAACAATTAGAAGTCACTTGTTGAAACGTTAATTAAAATAACTTTGTTAACTTTATAGTTAGTGGCTCTTTGAAAAAAGGTAAATGTCAATCATGGAGGTTTGCGGTTTGATGCCTGAGTTACCTTGAGTAAGGACCTGTTTTAATACCTTCATAAGACTAATACCGGAATACTGAAACGTTAATCAATTTTAAGTCGTGCTCAAATATCGTGCCGTCTCTGTCATTTTACAAAGAATTTGTAGAGATAGAACTATACTTAAGTACGACTTAAAATTGAGTAGCGTTTCAGTATTCCGACATAAATCTTATGATTTAGAATTAAATGATACTAATGTGTTGCTTTTTAAAATTAAGAAACGACATTTAAGTCAGACTGGGAGAAAATGCCTGCGGCATTAAGTCCACCTTGTGTACACCTTGTGCATGAAGCGTTAATAAAATAAAATAAAATTTAATGTTATATTCTTCCATAAATTCTTTAATACAAAATTCTTATTTTTGTCGTTTAAAAAACCAAAGACTATTTGACAATAGTAATCAATTCAAAATTAAAGAAAACCTTTTTTCTTTACACCTTTATACAATTAATTAATAGTCCATACTAATTAACTGTGCAGTCCCCAAGCCGTCAACAGTGACTGCTCTCTACTTACTCCATAATGGACCTTATTTCCGATGTTTAGAGACTATTTTTGTATGAACAAATGTGGGTTTTTCATAATCGGGGATTAAGGAAGTGTTGTATAGTAATGGGGATGATGACAGGGTATGAAAATTAAAAATATAATTAGTCCGTAAGTTAGGTAAGGAAAAAATATTAGTCACGTATTTTTTTATTTTTGTCGTATAATAAAACAATACTTAGATAAAACGAATCAAAGTTTAGGAGTGGGGGCTAAAACGTCATTTCTTAGTATAAAATGTACTGAGAAGTGACGTCACGCGACATTCAATATATCTTCGAAACTATTCGTTTCTGTGAGAAAAGAAAAAATACGTGTCTAATGTTTTTAAATAATCTATCAGATGGACATTAAAATAAAAATTAGTCGTCTACCCTATTGCTCTGGTACATAACGGCTATCCAGACATTGTAAAACATGCCCTTGATATCTATAAATCTATACAGATACATAAAATTAGTGTCTGTTTGTAATATTAACTACTGCATTTTACTATATGCATAAGAATGTACATACGATACACATACCAAAATTATATTTTTTAAAATTACGACTGTCTGACTGTTTGTACTGGCTAATCTCTAGAATGATTGGACCGATTTTGCAAAAATTTGCAGGTAGCTGATGTACTAAGGAGTAACATGGGCTACTTTTATTTTGGAAAATTGAAACAAATAGAAAGTTATGTTCTAAAATTCATATTCTATGCAGACGAAGTTGCGGGCAACAGCTAGTTATAATTATTTCTTGTCTAAATAATTTTGATAGTCTAATAAATAACTTGTTAATATTTTAGTCTAACCTACATATAAAATATTAAACTTGGTCCCATCTACTCCATGGTACACAAACTAAAGTAGTCTCTAAACGGTAAAAATAAGGTCTATAATGGAGTGGGTATTTAGAAGGAACATCTTGTTGTACCATAGCATCAAATACCAAAGTTGTTCCCATCTAGTACCTAAACTAAAGTAATCTCTAAACATTAGAAATAAGATCTGTTTAATGGAATGGGTATTTAGAAGGAACCTCTTGTTTTACCATGGCATCAAATATTAAACTTGTTCCCGTCTAGTACCTTAACTAAAGTAGCCTCAAAACGTTAGAAATAAGGTCTATAATAGAGTGGATATATTTAGGAGTAACCTATTGTTAAAATGAGCATTCATGAAAAGATTGATGACTGTTGAAGGAAAGAGGTATGTAGTAATCATAGCAATTGGCGTTCCATAGTCTCTGCCTGCCCCCATGGGAGACAGGCGTGAAGTTATGTATGTAACTCCTTGTAGCCATACCACTAGACTGGTAGATCAACAAAACCTGTATGTTTATGTTAAATCTTTCTTGAGACATACTAAATTAATTATGTTTTCAACTTACTCACATGCGATCTAATTTCAAGCCATGCTAGAGCCTCATATTCATGATAGCTTGGCTTGAAACTTGTCGAGTTCCTCGTCAAACAGGAACCTACCTTCACTGACGGACTGACTGACAGACTATTATTTATTTTGTATTTGTTGACGTCTCAAAAGTACCGAATTATGGTTTAATTGAAATAAATGTTTTGACTTTTGACTTTTTTGTGAGTAAGCCGAAAAAATAATATGTTATGAGGACTGTGTTTTTGCTCACCATATGGTGGAATTAAAGATAATATTTTGCCTAATCACAGCGGCTGTCGATTAACATCTGGTATCGCAGATTGAACGCATATCTACGCGAGACTCAATGTGTTTTCTATTGTGTCTCATAGGGTGCTCCCTCACCGGGACCATTCACGTGTAATGTAACATTATAGATTCGACTTTGAGCATTACATTACAATAATACCTCCCTGACTAACGAGCATTTGCCTATGTTGTATCATATTTCCTCGACTTTGAGCATTTCATAGCAAGATGTCAGACGAAGCGGGCGGGCGGGGAATGGGGGCATTGATGTTACAAGTTGTATCAATATATTACACAGTATCATTACAAGGTGCGCATTGTAATACTTGGTTCTTATTCTTTACTGATGGAGTCGCAGAGAACCTAACGGGTTACCGGGGCTCCGGCTCGACGTGCAGGAGAAGAAACGGGGTGGTTTTTAGCCAGTAAGAGTGACACTCCCTCCCGCCTCACCCAGGCGGGAGCAGTCATTCGATGATTTTCCCCCCTTAAAAAAAATCCTTTACTGATGTATGCCCGTTTTGTATCATTAGAAGCACATTGTAATGCTCGGTTCTCTTCCTTCACTGATGTAATGCTCAGATCTGTACCGTTACAT